GGCCTCTGACAACATACCCACCCCTCCTTGGTGTGACCTTGTACCACTTCTGCCTCCCGTGTTAACACCCTCTGCTCCCTATTGCTGGCTCCCTATATGTCTCCGCAGATGTGATTACCCAGCTCATGGTTTCCTAGAAGCCAATGTCTGCCTTTTGATCTTTTCACAGCCTTAATACCCTAAATTAATACCCTTCATGCAAAAAACTGGCCAAAAAAAAGTAAGATTCAAACCAATCTATTTTGTGCTCATTAGCAGCTTTGCTGGAAATGGACTGACAGCCATGATTTGGCGCAGTTCAAAGACTGTAGTTGGTTCCAAGACACAGGCGTTCTTAAGTTATGAAAAACAGTTGCAGAAACTCCAATCGTTTTATTTTGGTGCTAGAATTTTTTAAAATTTATTTTTATCCACAAGAATTACGCAAGAAGGAATTTCACCGAGGACCCATGTAATTTGGGTACTCCCCTCTATAGAGCCATTAACCACAAGAAGAGGCCTTGCTTAAACTAGCTGTCTGACAAAACTTCCTTCTAGAATGCAAACGTATCAATAACTTCCTGAGATATCACCACAATATCCTCTAGATGTCACCTTGAGAACATTCGAGGATGGAAGACGACTGCTTTCACACCACACAGACCCATTTAAGACTCCGTATGCCCAGATCAATGGTTTAATTGAAACAAAAAAAAATTTTTTTGCCAATTAACTCAAAAATTAAGTAGTGCTCCAAGTTAAGTTTAATTCATAAAATGATCTAATTTCTCTTTCTGGCAGATTTTTTTTTTTTTTTATGACTTCTCCCATCAACAACAGAAACAAAAACAAAAGCCTTCCCTTAAGAAGTATTTCTCATGGATTCTGATTTCTCTTGAATCTATCTTTCTCCCCAAAGATCCTCCCCCAAACATTTTCCATTTTCTAAGGCTGCTCATCTCATTACCCCAAGCATCTGAGGAAGGAGAGTACAGCAAAGTTTAAAGGCAGAAATTAGTTATTCCTGGACTGGTAAGAGCATTTAATTGGGGACGATTACCCAATCGATTGTTTTTCTCTTTAATACGCCAAGTCAATAGCAGGCCAATAACTGACTCATTTGGTCATGCAGTTCATTCAAACCAAATGAGCTGTCAGGTACTTCATTAAGAATTTTAAACACCTGAGTGCATGAAATCAATCTGGAGAGTGGGGAGGAAATAAAGGAAGCCTTTTACAAGTGACTTCAGGCAGATCTGGATTATCTCGGGTGTTATTTCCCTTCATACAGGCAGACTTAGACTTAGCCTGGGGGTCTGATTTTCAAAAATTACAGAAAAACCTTGGAAAATCATTTTCTTATAAAGAAAGTAGTGCATATAACAGAAAAGGTCTGCAGAGTCAGTCTCATAGTATTTCGAAGGGGCTCCTTCCTGATCCCTCCAGAGTAGGAGACTCTCAGAGACAAGAACAGTGAGCTGCAAAGAGACATGGAGAGTAAGACCTAAGAAACCCCAATACTACAAGGCCTCATGGCTTGCTGGAGGCCCAGGACGCCACCACCGCGACGGATGAGGACAGTTGCTGACATTCCCTTTTGGGCCCTGGGGCAGTGACAGAAATGCACTCCCCATTTAGGACTGGATAACCCCCCGGACTGCATGTGGAGGCTGGGAGCGGCCAGAGAAAGCAAACAGAAAAATCACCTGTGGTGGAGGGCTCAAGAGTTCTTTAGAAAGAACCTTCATTCTAGCTGTTGCACAAGGAATTACTTCTTGATACAAACACAGTGCCCCTTTAAAGATCTGTATTCTTCTTATGGGAAGAAAAGGAAAAAAAAAAGAGGGAGAAAGATGCTTATTAACCTTATAATAAGGATACATGCTGCAAGCACCTTCTTTCAGGGTTAACTGCCAACTTTTTTCCGAAATATGCATAAAGATAATTTTAAAATAGGGGGAGAGACCTTACTTGTGCAACATTCCCAAATTATACTATTCAGGAAATATTAGCAATTATATATGTATTGATGCAGAAAAATTACATGTTAAGCAAAATTCCATTAATAGAAAAAATAGGCTCCATATTTCAAAACATGTTTATAAATTAGAGATGTCCTCTGACACCTTCTTACATCCTGCTAGGTGAAGCGTTATCAGAGGCAATTCTAAATTCCCCAAATTGAAATTCAAGTTTCCCCTAAAATAAAATTTTTAAACAGAACTACATCTAATGAGAAATTTATAGTCAAAAAAAAATCACACATAGGCCGTGCGCTGTCTTGACTATGCACACACAGGTTACGATAGTGATTCCCAGGGGTACGTCAGGTCTTGTTGTTTCTCTTATCATCTCTGCTAGTACTGACGGCTTCCCATTTTCATCTGATCTTTCTGCCACCCTAGTGACAAGCGTTCATAAGTAAGCAGTTACATACCATTATTAATTAATGATTATGTGCAAAGCACAGAAGGGAACTGGTCCCCACCTAATCAATAACAGGAACAGGTCATTTTTATGAAGCAAGGTTATAAATAATTTTTTTAACCTGAACTACCAATCATCTCTTTGCTCTTAAGATCCAAACTAAAGAACGAAACCAAACAAGGTTTTATAATAAATCTTTTGCTTTAAAATCATTTACTAGAAAACAGAAGTCAAGAGGAAATGAACAGAAATGACTCCCAGAATTAATCTTCTTATACTCACATTCTACCTAGCATCCTCTGAAAGCGAACCTGTTAGGGTTCAGGCAGCCAAAACAGGTGAGATAAATGGCTGTTTCTAAACCAGGAAAAGGGGAAGGACTGTGTCTTTGGTTTTCAAAGTGAGCCTCCATCTCTAATAGGGGGGCTGACGCCCCTTCCCTGAGGAGTTAAAACCAGCCCGCACCCCCAAGCCCCTCATCTTACAAATATAATCTCTGAAATAGCAAGAGGTTTGTGGGATGGCCATATTAGCTCAGCACTCAGTACTCAGGTATGCTTTAAGCTGTTCTGTCTATGGGGTTAAAAGAACAGGTCAAGGAAGAAAATCTGGATACAACCAAGAATCATGATCTGTCAGACTGGTCAAAGAGGAAAGAGAAGGGACTCAACATTAAATCAAACCAGGTCAACACAAGCATATTAAAGACATTCAGCGGGACAAAAAGTATTTCTCACAATCCTAAAGGCACTCTCGACATTTAATCCAATCCCGAGGGAAGGCCATAAAAGCAGTCTGGGAAGCAATGGGAAGGCTCAGACGTGCTTCTGGCTTGGCACGCAAAGCTCTCCAGGCAGAACACAACCCACAGGAACAGGGAAGGCGGCAGCCTCTGCCCGAATCACGGCAAAGCAGACACTGTGACATTAACCTTGTACTACCTGGGAGACATTTCATCTGTGAGGCGTGTTGTCACCAGGACAGAAGAGTATTTCAATGGAAGGCAGTGACCCTGTAAGGGTCATCATCAATCACCTGGGGTCAAAGACCTTCGCAATTGTAAGAAGAGGCAGGGGGTAAGGGAAAGAGGGCATAGAACAGATCAAAAGGCCTTTGATGGGAGTTATCTACCTACACAACAGAACCTGCAAAATGGAACTTCTCTGGAGTTCAAAAACCCCTAGTTTCTAAGGTGAGAGATTTCAAGAGGGGTCTTTGTTTTTTTACACCTAGATGCGTAAGATGAAGACTGGAGTCAGCAGATGGCAGAAGAGGCCTAGAGGCAAAGGTTTACCTGCCTGCCAGTTTCAAGGTCTGTCCCCACAGAGTACTAAATACTATTTTCCTCTAGAGCAAGCACTGAAAGGGAGGGAAGACCCTGCCAACAGTGCAGTTGCCAAACGGCAAAGTGGCTCAGTTTGAACCGCCTTGCCATACTGTATTTTATTTTATTTTTGAGAGAGAGAGAGTGTGCATGTGCACGGGGGGAGGGGCAGAGGGAGGGAGGGAATCTTAAGCAGGTTCTTCGCCCAGCACAGAGCCCAACGTGGGGCTCAATCTCATGACCCTGATATCATGACCCTAACCAAAACCAAGAGTTGGATGCTTAACCAACTGAGCCAGCCAGGTGCCCTGCAATACTGTATTTTAGTTGCTGATGTAAATACACTTACTTCTTTTCTCTTTGTAGAAGGCAATACAGAGAGGTTAGGAAATAAAGTCAAGCGTCTTTAGGCCAATGACAATGGAAAACCAGTCTGGATCTGTGGGATCTTTTCTATCAGTGATGCCATATATCTTGCTACTGTTTCCCTTGCTTCATGAGCCTTAGATGATTGAAGGAGCAGCTGGATAGGACTACCTGTTAGAGTGGTGTATGAATCAACTCCACTGGGCACAGAGTGAAAGGAAGGGAAGAGGCATCTTTAAGAAAGAGGCAGTAAAGGAGGACTCCACTGAACCCTTGGTTACCCGCCTGACAGACTTTTTTGGGGTATATTCAAGGACAATCATTAATCCCAAGTAGGCTCTGTCCCGTCCCCGGGATGCCTTTTCCTTTTAACTGGTGAGCAGAGTTACTTCAAGACGACAAACAATATGAGCCTTTATTTTTTATTTTTTTAAAGATTTTATTTATTTATTTGACAGAGAGAGACACAGTGAGAGAGGGAACACAAGCAGGGGGAGTGGGAGAGGGAGAAGCAGGCTTCCCACAGAGCAGGGAGCCGGACGTGGGGCTCGATCCCAGGACCCTGGGATCATGACCTGAGCCCAAGGCAGACGCTTAACGACTGAGCCACCCAGGTGCCCCAATATGAGCCTTTTAAAAAACCCACTGAGGATATTTATAAAAAATAACTATTTTAAGAAATAAAACATACTAAAGAGCAATATAAATGGCTTTCAGATTATGGGCTGTTTTGATTAGCCAAGCCCTGGATGCCTCCAGCCTACTCCCATCAGCATGGATAATTGAGAATCTGCCCCATTTCCATTGTAATGCAGTCTCCCTAATCCATTTCAGGCATGCAGATGGAAAATCAAACCTTCTGGCTACTGTTTCACCTTACATGGATTCAGCACATGGCACTAACCTCTGTACAGTCCAAAGAAGCCTTCGTAGCGTAGCACTTTCTTAAAACAGTCAAAGCTGTTTTTATACATAAGTTCTCCCACAAAAGAGCCAGTTGATCGTTGGTTCTGCATGCGAGTTTTTACGAGATCGATAGGATACACGGCAGTGGCTCCAACAGCTAAAATCAAACAATACCACTGGTCAACATCAAAGAGAAGCCTGATGAAGCAAAGGAACAAACTGGGCATGTACAGACTGTAAAACGGCATGAACTTTCCTAAACAACTCTGGATTTTCATTCAAGTATCTCCTGATAAAATGATGTCCCAGACAGCTCAAATGTACAAAAACATATCACCTACAGCCTAACCGCGTTGTTCACCCATCTTAAAAAAGCCTATCTGCAGCTAAGTGAAAAAGGCCCTGACCACAAGCAGGTATGGGGGAAGTTCCCTTTGCTCTTGTCCCATTCCAGAGGTGCACACGGGAAATGGGCTTGGAAAAACCAAGGATGGCTCTATCCATTAATACAGTACGGTGGAAAATCAGAGAAAAAAATCAGAGGAGTAATAAAAGTGAAAAATTTGCACTCATCCATGACTAACCTCCAGCAATGGAACCCAGCCCAAACCTGTAGGCCGACTCCGCAACCTGCAGGAGAACCGGTCGAGAGGAGTCCACTGAGGCCTTCTTCTTTGCACACACAGGAGTCGGGGGAGGGGGGGCAGGAGACAGAAAGAAGGATAGAATAGAAATGAGCACATATGATTTTTTAAATTGCCCCCTGGGTTCCAAATTCACGATACCAACTAACATATCAAAGAGGAAGGTAGGGTTAGATTCTGTTGTTCTTATTAAGAAAAGGTTATTACTGTTGTTAATGCTGAAAATCAAATCTGAACATATTGAAAACCATTATGTACTCCCCCAAAAACGTTATGAACCTATTTTCAAATGTTTAATTCTTAGCAGTGATCAGGGAGATCCAAACTTAAAAACATTAATGAGACATCATTCTTCTTCAAGCAAACTGGCAGGTTTGGGGGATTTTTGTTTGTTCATTTTAGTGAAGTGTCGTTGACCTACAATATACTAGTTTCAGGTGTAAAACAAAGTGTTTCGACATTGAGGTACTCTGTGAAGTGTTCACCATGATAAATCTAAATACCATCTGTCACCATAGTTTGTTGTCTAACGGCAACACCCAGCCTGGCAAGAGTTGATAAAAACGGGGCTTCTCAAACCTGCCATTTAACCTAGTATAAACTTGAAGGGAAACTTGTTAATATACACCCAAACTCTTGTACATAAACTCTGCCTTGCAGAGCTACTTATAAAAAATGAGACTAGAAAATAATCATGTATGTGAACATGGATCAATCTATGAATGTTAAAAAGCAATACCGTTTAAGAGCAAAAACTCTGAAAGTAACCTAAGCGTCCAATAATAGAGGCCTGGTTAACAATGCTGCAGGCTTGCGATGCTTGGCTGGCTCATTCCATAAAGTATGCGACTCTTGATCTTAGGGTCGTAAGTTCGAGTCCCACGGTGAGTATGGAGATTATTTAAATAAATGAATAAACATTAAAAAAATGCTACAGCCTTAAAATGAAATCGTATGTCATTGTAAAAGAATTATTTGATGTTAAGAAAAATGTTCATAGGGATTATAAAGTGAAAACAGGTTAAAAGGAATACAGCAGGTAGACGGTATTCATGATAATGATTCTCTTTACCTTTATAAATGTTTGAAATATTTCACGATAATCTTTTAAGAACAATGTTAAAGACTGTGTGCAATATGTTGTTTTCAATTAAAATTATTTGTGGGCATATGTATGCATATAAAAACATACTAACATCTTGGCTATCCCGACACCCAGAGATAACTCAAAACATTTACAGTAGCTACAACTAGGTGGTTGTATTACAAGTAATTGTTACTTTCTCCTCTTTCCTATCCACTTCTTTCTAAATTCATACTTCAGCCAGTCGTTATTTTTTTTTTTTTGACCTACTATCCTTACTGTGTTTTTGATGCCAGAACATCTGAGAGTAGTGCTTTTTCTGCTCTACATAAATAAAACAGTAATTTTATGTCACGCAAAGTTGTCAAATGAGGGTGACAGTTAATGCTTAACAGTACCTGTTGAATGAATGAATACATTCAATAAAGTTTGTTTTTTCAAAAGCCACAAAAATTAAAATAGGTGAACAATGAAAATAATTACCAACCCCAGCTATCAACCCACTGAATTTTAGTTGCTGTCAATGTTACACAATTCTAACAGAATGAGATAATTTGGAATCTCCTGTGAAGTCACTTCACTGAAAATAGCTTTACATAGAAATATGCATCTTTAGAACGTAAAGCATGTCTTCTGCAAATTTCATGGGGTTTTCCCAACTCTATCTCTGCAAAGACGGAAATCACGAGTAACCTCATTTTGACAAATGCATCCCTATGAAAGGCACTACTTTTTTTATATGGATATAAATATGTAAGACTGAAATTCTGGCATCAAAATAATGAGTGAAAGTACTTTGAAAATAATGGGGGGAGGGCGCACAGCGGACCTAACCGCTATCACTAACTCTTAATGGAAAAGACAAAATAAATGCAGTCCCAGATTTTCATTTAACTTTTCTGAAGCTCGAAGCGTAGCATGCTCATGAGACAAGAAAGATTCCCATTCCTGCACAACTCTGTTGAGGATCCACGCTAGCACGGTGCCTACCAGGTGGATGACCTCCATTGCCTGAGTCCGTCAGTGTTGTCAGGCCTACTGGCGTTCACATAGGAAAGAATATTCCAGGCAAGGCTGCTGTGAATCGCTCTCAACCTCTCAGCCGCGGCCAATCATTTCCTGCTGTTAAATCTCATCTAACACTTGCATGGCCAGTACCAATGAGCACCCACCATAAACTCTCAAAAGTTGCAGAGGGCAGGAAGGAAAAATTGTGGGCTACCACTGCCAGCTGGAGAACAGAAGGAATCTTTAAAAACAAAACAAAACACCCCTCTCCTTTTCTTGATCCCCAAATTTCTACAACAGCTAGTCGCATAGAGACGAAGAGCTAATCGTCTGGTAAGCAGTGTTTAAAACTCAAAGGGCGGAGAGCAATGGTGCTGCTACCTTGCACGTGACCACACAGTGCACTCTCCTGCACTCGGGGACATCGGCTCCCTCTTGTGACAACAGCCAGCTGGCTTTCCATAGGTGCCTCGTTTGGGTTTCCTGTGCACACACCCACCACTCTGAGCTACACGCTGCACACAAAACTCGCCACTGCATTCGGCGGGGGGGGGGGGGAGAGCTGAAAGGAGCGGTGCTGGCTCGAGGCCTGCTCGTCCTAAAAATGTAGCCCGCATCAACCCATTGTGGTCAAACTGGCGTCTCTGTACAGACTCGGAGCTCCAAGCCAAAAACTGTTAAGTCTCACAGGATTCAGGGGTGGCTTTGCCTTAAAGGAGGTATTTTTCTACAACGACGCTCGTCTGTGACTGGATTTACTTTACAAACATCGGGTAAGCACAACACATGCTATGAAAGCTTTTATTCTCTAATCCTGACCCACAGCAAGTCGAGCAAGAGTTAAATGAGGAGGTCCCATGTCTTAAGTTTCTGACCCTCATGACTTCACAAGATTGGTTTCTGTTAACCATAAAATAAAATTTAGCATTCCTCAAATTGTTTCCACATAACTTATGAATCCTTTCACAGAGAAAAGAAGTCTAAAAGCCTTCAAACTATTACTCCAGACTAAACAAAATTATCTCATTTTGATATTCCGAAGAACGGAAGGCACGGCAGTCACACAATGAGCTGATGAAGTACCTCTCTGTGGAGCCGAGACGGCTTTCGGTCAGCAACATGCCGCCGCGCTGGGACAGCGACACCAAAACACGGCTCCTGGCCCACATCCCCCAACACCAGATTTAGGGAAGAAGAAAAGATCTTCTGCCTATTTTGGGGGGACGAGGGGGCAGGCTTCCAGTGCAGTTAGGAAATCACCCCATCCTTGAAAGTAACAGGTAACTATCTGTCAATCAGAACATCTCTAATTTCTCTTTGCAGCCTTTTGAAATTGTCTGGATTTTTGGTGCAAAATGTTACGATGGCAGGTCAGATACCAGTACCAAAAAGGCAACTGCGAGTAGAAAGGGTTTGGGGGTACCCTACTGAAGAAACATCAGGAAGCAAGTTTGTTCCTTTTGCCCACCTGCCTCTGGGCCTCAGCCAAGTTGAAGGGCAGAGTTCCCTCTTCCAGTGGAGCAATTCGTTCAATGTCTGCTAAGGTCATACGTCTGGAAGGGAAAAAAACAAGCATGAGCAACAACAAAACACTGGTTTATTAAAATTTGCAGTATGGAATTTGAAAACATTCCCTTTTTTGTTCCCATATTTCAGAGTCCTCTTTTATTTGGCTTCTTTTTCTCCCAGTGTGCTGCCCTCCTCCTACCCCTACCCCCTCCATCCTCTAACCTCCTTTTATGAAGCTAATTAGAAAAAAAAAAAAAAAAAAAAAGGCCAACTTACCCCCGTGGCTCATATAAATCTGCTAACTGAAACAAGATGTCAACTTCCATGGGTGTAACCTGACCAAATTTCTGAGCTGCCAGAACAAACTCCTCTGTATGGAAAAAGAGTTAAAAGGGAAAGATTCAAAAAGGAATAGCCACTAAATGCAGCATTAACTCAAGGCGCTGGAGTGAGTGAACATCACAAAACTTTATTATCAGTCACAGAATTCAAGTAAACCCAAACAGGGCAAGAATTATTGCAATTCTTTCATTTGTCTGGAAGGAGTGTGCAGAATAGTTTCTCTAACATTGACTTTAAAAGCTTGATGTCTCATCGGAAGCCTTGGAATAAATGACACAGGACATTATTCAAATTGCAGGTCCAAGAAAACAAGGAGGCTGATACGAAACTTCACATGCATCAGGCCTGGGAGGTTATATTAATGAAGCTATGCAATTCCTAAGGCAATTCTCTTTTTAAAAACAAAAAACAAAAAATATTAAAATGTTGATATCTCGTTCTGAGGTTGTCACCAGTACAAGTTTACAGAATTCCTTATGTACTTCTGAAGGCCACCTCAGAGGCCACAGATTTAGCTCAGGTTTTAGCACGATTTGAAAATAGTTAAGAAATTTTACATGGTTCCCTAATTCAAAGGCTGTCTTCAGTTTATTTAAAACTTGCTGAAGATTGTTTTATTTGCTTTTGTTTGATCAAAGGATGGAGCACACACATGTACCATAGGGTTAATATGTGTCAATGGGATAGAAAAATCTGTAACGTAAATTCCTGGTTGCCTTCTTTACCCTAATAATAATACACCAAGATACTATCAGGCAAAAATTCAGATTTATTCTCACTCACCCTTAGTCACCTCTACATCTTTCCTGTTGCCAGCCAGAGTGCTGTAGATCTTTCTAATGAGTTCCATGTTGTTAAGGAGTGAATTAAATCCATTAAAATAGGAGAAACTAACTTGATGGGATGTAGTACCTCCAGCAGCCTCAAATAAGTTGAACATAAGAAAGGAGAGAAGAACAATAAACAAAGGATTTATAAAATGAAGAAGATTCAGAAGTATATATATCAAATGCTAGTTTTGGAAGTAATCAAGAATGCATGTATAGGAAGAAATGGCCGTAAGTATTTTCTTTTCACATTAAAAAATAAAGCTATAAATGAATTTTAAAAGTAACTGCAACTAATCATGACCAGAGCTTATACTCTCCACACACAAGTCCTAGAAAACTAAATAAATACACGTGTAGGATTATAACAACAGGACCAGTAGTAATTTACAGAGTTCAAATTTCAATTGGAAATGTTTTATAAGTTTGTTTATTTCATCTAACGAGCAATTCTGAGAGGCTTAGACATGCACAACTATACTATACACATGCACACGTGCATGTGCTTAGACATGTAAAACTATATTATACCAACACAAACATAGTATGAAAGTGGTCAATCTAACATTAATATCATGATTTGTCATGTTACTTAGAACTAGCAATAAATAATCATGTAAGTACAGACTTTACACTGGTGGGATTTCTAGCAAACAAGCATATTCCGGTAAAATTATGAGATGTCATATGCTTGGATGGGGGTTAAGACTGGTCAGAATACTGATAATCAGAATTTGTAAGAAGCCATATTTCTTCCCAGGGGGCAAGGGAAACAGATAGCACGGTCATTATGAATGGAACTTCAGTTTGGGGTTTCAAATTCTATCCTTCCCTAACAAGGCAAAATATTTTTATTAGGAAAGCACTTCTTTGTAAGGTAACAACCACATAAATCTTCACTTAGTAATCATTTAAAATAGCTGACCTAAGAGTTTAAAATGGAGTAGAGAAGGGCGGGGGAAGGCCAGAAAAGGAGCTAGACTAACACAGTGCACAGTGGAAAAGGCCTTGTGAGAGTTCCGTGTCTCCAAAAAGAGGAACCAGGAAATAAAGTGAAAGTGAAAAGCTATGCTGAGTTCCTGCCTATGGTAAGCATTGTGGGAAACCCAGAGCGTGGTAAAAACACTCCAAAAGTCTTCTCCCTGGGACTAACAAAAGCACTGTGTACGGGTTTCCAAATATGCATGATCATCAGAGTTACCTGGGAAGCTTTAGAAAGGAGATTCTAGGACCTCACCACCTATAGGAGATAAGTCCACAGGCCTGGAAGAAAACGTCATTATCTGTATTTTTAATAAGTATGCCTGGTCATTCTTATGCTTTGTGACCAAGGCCTGGGAACCTCCAGCACAGAATGTTCTGGGCCACCTTCTAGGTCCATGAGGTCAGAAGAGTGGCTGGGCACCCACTGGGATTTAAGCTGTGACACAGGCCAGCCGGGCCCCGCACATCACATGTGCCACTGTTCCTTCAACACACGCATGTTAAATGACCGAGTGAATCGAAGCTTTAGAGTTTCTCTTCTGCTGACCACTCAAAGAAATATATCTGCATGCGCTATTTTTTTTTTTTTAATTTTGCCTTGGAGAATAGACGACAGTGAAGATTAGCATTTGACATACCTCAAAATATACAGCAAAATTAATATGAAACCATAAATTTGTTTTTCCTTTTTTAAAACCAGTTAATACATTTAAGATATTTCATATGATCCAGAAAACAAATTAACCTATCCCTAAAACTAGCCAAAATATACTCTGTCTGTAAGTTTGGTAATATATAGGATCACATTACAAAAATGTTAGTGTTAAACTGAAAAAACTCCACATAATTTTAAAGAATTGTTCTTATAATCCCTTATTTACTGAGCTTTTGCCAGGTAAAATAAACTGCTTCATTAGGGCAAGTTACAACTTACAGCTACTAGACATTCTTCTACAAAAGGAGTCAAGACATGGGGGCGGATGGTGACCATGATGTCTCGGAAGTCAATGGCTGTAACTTTTCCGGTCCTGGCATTGTCCCTTTGCACAAAGGCTTGCTTTGCATGCTCCAGTTGTATTTCCTACAAATAATGAAAGTGAAATAATTTATGTTTCTGAATTGCTACAAAAGACTGCTCAATTTCAAATCAGGGCGAAGAAATATAGATCGTATCTTGATTTAACAAGCCTTACCAGCTTGTTAAATAACACCCTCAAGCTATCCTCTTCTTCCAAAGACAGAACTTTGCTCAGACCAGTGAACATGTCTCAGAAAATGCATTCCTCCTTAAATCTCCTGCCCAGAGAAACCAAATCACTTCCATGCTCTGTTAGAGTCCAGGGACACAAAGAAAATAAAAATTGGAATGAAGTCTGGTAGGCCCAAAGATATGGCCAAACCCAACTCAGGTGATGCAGATGACCCAGTGAAAAACATCTACAGGGACAATAAGCTCTCTCCAAAGAAGAGATAAAAATTCTTACTGGTAACCTCGAACACAAACATGCGACATAATAACAAACCGAAAGGGTACTTCTCCTCTGGAATATGCTGTTCCTCTAACATACAGTTTCTCAGGCTTGACACTATTGGTATTTTAGGTGGGTTAATCTTCTGTTATGGAGAGCTGTCCTGTTCCTCCCTCCCCTCTCTCTTTGCACTAGATGATGGTAGCCCCTTTAGCCCCAAGACCACGACAATCAAGAATGTGTCTGGAGCCGGCGACAGGTCCTGAATGAGGACACTGCTCCAGAATGAGGAAGTGGATGGTATGTGGGTCAGCCGTGGCAAAACTGCAGCAGTACCACTGTTTTAATTCCTATGATCTAAAGACAGGAAGCCCAATTTAGATTTCAGTTGTGATTCGCAGGGAGTTAGCATATATGCAAAATAAACAGCCTCCCATCAAACCCCACCAGGTGCTGTGTAGGAGAAGCATCTCTTTTGCAGAGGGCATTTCATTATCTTCCTCATGACACTGCCCATTTCCCAAATGGGCCCTCAGAGATCTAATCTCTATGGAATTAAAAAGCACTGCAAGGACTTCAAATTATTTAAACGAAAAAAGTTTAATTAGTTGATAGAGAATTACTGTTTTTTTAAACTTTGGCAAGACAATAGCTTACAGTAGTGTAAAAACAAATCATCCCTATGAAGTAGTGCGAGCTAAAGCATAGCAGAAATGACGCAAGTCTGATCATGCTTGAAAGTGCTCCATCTCCCTTCTCTTCCCCCAGAAAGGTGGGAGATGAAGGAAGCTTGATAAAATATTAATAATAATTGAAGTTGCATAATGGGAACATGGTGGGTCACAGTATAATATACTTTCCTACTTTAGAAGAGTTTGAAAATTTTAAATTTAAAAAAATTTTAAAAGATAATACCATAGTAAGAAACAGAGTTCTTATTCTATTCAAAAGCTTCTTCTCAGCCACAGCATCTGCCAGTTTTGATCGAGCCTGTCCCTGTCCCAAGGCTCTTCTGAGACCTTTATCTCCCTGATGCCTCTTCCACTTAAATGGGAGGCTTCTGTCAGCCCTCTGTCCTCAAGTCTCCTCGCTCTACTCCCCTAGGCCTCAAAGATTTCTCCGAAGGCTTGAATCCCAGATCCAAATCTCCCATACTTATCCGCTGGACCAGAATTCCTAAGTGCTCAGAGAATATACCCACGTGGGTATCTTGTAAAGGCCACACAATGGCACATCACTAAATCCAAGGAGCTACTCTCAGCCTGGTCTCCAGCACCCCATGCTCAGTCCTTCCAGACCTTCCACACACCCCGACCTTTGTCTGCATTCCTCCCTCCGCCTGGTGTAGACTGCAGCTTCTTTCTGTAGTTCCTGAAATCCTACCACTTTCCTCCAGGCTTAGCTCAAATGCCGCCACTTAAGTAAATATAAGTAGGTCTCTTGCTGAAAAGAACTGATGTGATCGTGTGGCTCCCTGCTTGCACCTCAATCCATAAGACTTGTCTTATTCCATCTTACTTGAAGCAGTTGTTTATATTCCTGTCTTTCCCCTACCTTGCCGGGGAAAAGAGACTACGTCCTATTCATCCCTCTACTGGTGTAGGCAGAATGCCTTAGATATACTAGGTACTCAATAAACCACAGACATAATCTTCAGTGACTGGTATTCTATAAAACCAAGTGAATGAACAAATCACACTCTACTGAACAAAAAGGTGTTCTCTGTATAAGTGCCTCCAATTTAAGAAGAAGAAACCAACTGTTAAACACCCTGTAGTGAAAAATGACCACAGTATGTATTCAATTGAAAGTAAATGAACACAGTCTCCTTCAAATTGTCAGACCCACTGCTAAAGCTATTGTAAGGCAAGATTACTCTCAACAATAGTAGAAGGTGTGTTCACTTAGTTACCACCTCCACCCCCGCAGTTTATAACTCAACTAGAGTCTTAAGGACCCAGAGACGAGGATACCAAAAATGGCATCACCCACCCTGGCACCCCATTTCCTCAGAATTCCTGGCCCCCTCATGTCCTCAGAACACTAAGACCAATCTGCTCAGAATTTCAAATTGGGAAACAGACATCAAAGTGGGGGTGGGTGCTCACATGGTAGAGCAGGCGATGCACCTGTAACAGGGATGGTGTCACTACCCATTTCTGTGCCTACACTACAGGATTCAACATTTACTAGTAGGGATCCCTCGATCGCAGAACATGAAAGCACTTTTAACTCTAATGATGAACAACTTTAGAATACATTTCCAATACCTCTGAAAGATTGGGGACACCGTAAATTCTGTGAAAAACAAGAAGCTAACTGAACATCATTCTCTAAATAGTAGGATAGAGTGAGAACATTTAGTTAAGTGTTTCCTCAAACTAAAAGCAGTTTGCTGAAGAAGTGGGTTGCCTTGTGAAGAACAACTGTTTATGTCATGACTATTTAGTCTTCTGGGTGAAGAAATAAAGCTATTACCTCAACCGACACAACAACCACGTTAACAGCATTTAGTGAACATATATTATGCACCAGATACTGTTCTAAAGCATTTTACAGTTTAAACTCACTTCCTGCTCACAGCAACCCCATGAGCTGGGCACTATTATTAACTTTATTGTGGCAGTTGAGGAAACTAAGTCTCACAGGAAGCAGCGAAGCTGGAATGCAAAGCCAGGCAGTTCTGCCCACTGACGATGCCCCTAACACTTCAGCACAGCGCCTGGGGAGCCTGGATCACGTGACCGTCAGGAATCTGATGACAAAATGTATTTGACACTTAGGAATCTTAATAACTATGAAAAGACAAAAATTCAAGTTTGCTTTTAAATTATTCTTAATACTCTAGATTTTTTCTTGTCTGTTTTCATGAGAAAACAGTAAAATTTCTGAGACTTTTTCCTTAAGGAAAATGTCTTTTATGTGCTCCAAGGGTTAGGATTGTTCTCCCAACAAGAGCAGAGAACCACGGAGAAGAGGAACCAAATCTAAAGGTCTTCTCCTGACCTTGCTTACTTACAACCCCAAGAGACTGAGTAAGAGAAAGACAAATATGGAGGCCTTAGGGAGCCAACACACAGATACTCTATAAATACTTAAGTTGAGGGGCGCCTGGGTGGCTCAGTCGTTAAGCATCTGCCTTAGGCTCAGGTCATGATCCCCGGTCCTGGGATCGAGCCCCGCACTGGGCTCCCCTGTTCGGCGGGGAGTCTGCTTCTCCTTCTCCCTCTGCCTCTCTCCCTGCTTGTGCTCTGTCTCTCTCTCTCTCAAATAAATAAATCTTTAAAAAATAAATAAATACTTAAGTTGAGAATGAATGACTTTTGAAGTAGATATTCAGGCTCACTATTGATGGCAGAGTGACTGAAAATCAAAGCTCTTCACTGGCACCTCCAAAGCTGTTTAAGGAAAACCTAATGCATACCCAGAGAGCCTAGACCCTGATGGCTTCTAGATCTGAACCCAAGGGGATAAAAGTGGGACAGAGAGCTTGGAGATGCACGATGTAGGGCTTAAGTAAAATAGTGATCATTTCCAAAATGAGCAGAGGAGCAGAGAACAATGGGAGAAGCAAGAGTTACATTCAAATATTTAAAGGTTAAAGGACTACCCGGTACAAGAAAGAAGTTAGACTGGTCCTCTATATTTCTTTAAAAAAAAAAAAAAAAATCAATGGAGAAAAAAACATAGGGATCAGGTTTTAGCACAACACCAAAGTCTTTAACCTATACAACTCTTCAGCAATGAATCAGGCTACACCGCAAAGTAGCAGGTTCCTAGTCACTGGCAATATCTGTGCAACAACAGGCTAAGGAACATATGTCAAGGAACCTATTTATTTTAATACAGGGAGTTATGGAAGCAATCTGTTATGATGACAAAAATCTGAAGTTTGGAACAGGAATGAGCAGAGCTCAAGTATCAATCATGACACTCCTAGGAGGATTAGGGGAGTATATATCTTAGAGCCCCTGCAACATCGACCGTGGAAGGTTGTAAAAACGAGACGTCATGCATGACAGGCACTTAACTAAGTGGGAACTTTGATTTTTGTTGAGGTGAATGGTTTAAAATCCTCTAAAGACCCTTTCAGTGTTAAGTTCTTTGAGTCTTTAAAAAAAATCACCTCATAAGGAACAGTGGCTCTGCTGAGTCATTCTGAACCAGCCACAGAAACAGAGAGATGAAGACCAGATCGGGTAGAGAACACAGTAACGGCTGAACGCTTAAGCACTTAACTACAGGCCAGGGTCCGGGCCAAGAACTTAAAACATGGTACTTCATGAAAGCCTCACAATAATTCTGTGAAGTAATTATTATCTTCATCTTCCAGAGAGGTACCTAGAGCTCTGGGAGGTTAACTAACTAGTCCAAAGTCACACAGCCAGGAAGTGGCAGAACTGGGATCTATTCTGAGTTATTGTCTGATTGTAAAACTGTGATTTTTAACCACTAGCTGATGCTGCCTTGGGTAAAATCGTAAGAGGATTGTAACAGATAACTGGAAAAGAGATTTTAAGAGAAGTTTTGGTGAGGACTTAATACATAAAAATGGAGCAAGAGAGATCTCAAAGAATTCTCCTCTTGGATGATGAGAGAGATAGAAGCATCT